CCCTATGTTTTATTCAGGGTCTATACAGTGGCATTTCCAATTTGGCCAAACCACAGATTCCGCTGAGGTTGGTATAACTGTGAGCTCTGCACCTATATAAGAATGGCAAATAAAGGCTGCTTTAATATGGGGGGAAAATATCCCTTTGTTAGTTTAAAACTCTAAACTATTAGAACAATAAAAGTATTTATCTGTTTCTGTGCTCACTTGCAGTTTCTTGCTTCAATCACCTAAGCCAGTATAAGGTATGGATTTGAAAGAAAGCTGTAAAAGTTTCCTTGAAAAGAGCTGTAATCTGAGAGCATTCACTGGAAAAAGCTTTGTCTGTACACAGATAGTAAATGGAAATATAGAAAAAATAAAACAGTTTAAGATGATCAGATTCAGTGAATTTCTGATTTATGCTAATGCCGGCATTATATTCTGGGTTAAACATATAATCCACGGGGAAAAGAGAAAGTATAGTGAGCATCACATTGCTTAGGTATCTGCCACAAGTCCAGTGTCATTCTAACTGATAGTAATAACAAGTATCAGCCTATAAATCCAAGTAAATTTGAGGACTAGGTAGAAATAATCATGAAGTCTAATGAAGAATAGATACAGTAGTACACAATCAGGAAAAAACAAACAAACAAAATCCTCCCATTCCTGCCATGCAGCTATTTAGAGAGTGGCCTGAAAGCCGGGCTACCTGGGCTAAGGACCAGCTCACACTTACTGACCATGAGACACTCAGCAAGTGGCCTAACCCCTCCAAGACGAGCTTTTTTATCCATAAAACAAGGAAAATAATACTATCTACTTTGTCAGAGCCGATGTGAGAAGTAAACAAACTAAAGTATGGAAAGCACTTTATACCATGCCTGGTGCAGAGTTAAACAATCATTGTAGGTCTTCTTATTTCATCTCAGGCAAAACACACTTCATGCAACCTTCAAAAACTCTGCTGACTGTGGGTTCCCATGAGCTTGGGACAGCCTGGTTTACAGGACTGGTCTGTCCCAGAGAGAGCACCCTTGCTTACTCCAAAAAGCATCCCAGTTTGAATACATTATATGGCCCCCTACAAATAACAGCCATGTGTTATTCATTCCTGCCTCCAAGCTGCCTTTCTGCTGGTCTCCCAAAATTAAATGTTCTCAACTCTGCTCCTCCTTCTGAAACATTTCCACTGTCAATCTTTCAGAACTACTGGTTTTTCTAAGCAGAATGAGCATCATTAGCTCCATTTTATACCTGTGAAAATTGAGGGAGAAGAGAAAGGGTAAATTCAGAAATTACAAAGAGAAGAATTCAGAGATATCTGGAGTTTACACAAATAGCTCAGAAGAAACGTATAAATGGCCAAGCTAGGCCTAGAACTCTGGTCTGATTCTGAAGCTCAGATTCCTTGTTAAAGTCACTATGAAGGAAAGAGAGAATAATAAAATGTGTGTATCTAACCACATATACATCGTTATATATTTGGCTTATTAGTTTACACATGACCTAGGTAAGAGATGGGCAGATGTCTACAATAGGAGGTGGCTTCAAATAAAGAAAGGGAAAGGGAGAAAAGAATATTGTTTCAATAGGAATACTTCAGTATATATTGTGATTTTTAAAAACCTGGGGTAAATATAACCAGATAATAATGTATTGTGTTATCACTTTCAAAAACACTTTAAAAAAAATCTTTTAAAACACCTTGTAAGGTAAGTGAATATCATCCCATTCCTTAAGAAGAAATGGAGGCTGACAGGAGTAAAATAAATTTCCCAAGGACCTCTTAGACAGTAACTGAGCTGGGACCATAATTCAGGTCTTCTGGGTCCTCATCTCAGATTCTTTCTGCCACACCTATCTACCTCTGAGCTCTGCTAGCAAAGATGATCATTTGATCACGTAAACATGGCCTTTAAGGGGTGGAACATTCAACTTATCATGGAAGCCAGGACACTTGACAGTAGAAGGGGGTACTCATAATAATTATATGGGACACTAGGTGTCAATGGACAGTTCCACCCAAAGTGGGATGGGTGGTTGCCTTGCACTTTAGCTTACAGTGCACTTTACTGTAAATTTTACTCATTAAACTTCTAAGAAATGAGAATTTTCATTTTTCTTAGAAAACAAAACAATTCATATAATACTTAAAGCAACATGCAACATGGACCTTATTGGGTGTCAAATGGTTAATGTTCAAGAAAACTCCTGAACATAAAAACATAGATGAGGATTCTGAGAAGAACTAAACTATCTTCTCTGCACATACAGTCCTGACCTAACAGAGTCCCCACCCTGGGGCCAACAATGGTGAGACCCAGAACAGGGAGCTCTATCATAGTCCAAGGAAGCCAGATGTGTTCTGGCTCCATCCTGAGGGAACAAAGGGAGCTTTGTACACTAGTAGTGACTTACAAGTGCCACTGCTGAAGTGGCTTCTGCCAGCCTGCTTCTGTTAAAGGGTGCACATTCCTGAGTGTGAGGAAAGAGCAGGGTGCAGAAAAGTAATACCTTGGGTTTAAAGTTATGTCCTCATTTTGAAGGGGAAAAAGTGTTTTACTAACAAATTCAAGCCAACAACCAGGCAAAAGGTATGGCTGACCAAAACCTGCCTCCTGGCACTTGAACTGTTCTTGTACGTTGTCATCCCTTGGGAATGAAGGACATGAACTTTGGGTTATTTAATGGATTAACCCTTTACTTCTTTAGGTTGATTAATGAATTAACCCTTTGCTTCTTGGTCAAGTCCCTGGACAAACCACTTTTCTAGTATGTGTGTGCAGACTTATGTGCAAGTCCAGAGGATTCTCAGCTTTATTCAAATGAAGTCTTTCTTCTGTCTTTTTTTCTTCTATTCTTGGAAAATTATTTACATTATTTTTGGAGGAAAGAGGCTTAATCCTTCTAGAGATGATTCCTCCCCAAGTATTAAAAGTGGTCTTGCACTTTAAAGAATAAGAAACCAGACCTAAGTTGCCTGTCTTTACCTGCATCCAAAAATTATCTTAATGATACTTATGAAAAGATCCTTATTTCACTGTTACGAAACAACATAGGGACTGAAAGCCTGCTGTGAGATCCTGTTGAGGCTCTGCCATTTCCTAGCTGTGTAACTTTAGCCAGGTGAGTCTCCTTATCCATAGCATGACTCACGGCTCAAGCCATACACCAGACACTTCCACTCATCTTCAGATCATGATAAAATCGAAGCTTTTAGAAGTTCAGTGGTTTTCTCACAAATCACAGAATTGTAAGAATTGGAGTCAGGAATTAAATTTGACCTTCTGAATTCCAAACCCTTTCCTCTACCACGGTCTGCTTTAAAATTCTTGGGAAAGTGTCATTGAAGACAAAAATAATGCTATGTTAAATATCAGTTCCCCCAAGAGGTAAAAACAAACAAACAAAAACAAAACAAAAACCCAATTATTACAGAAGATAATTTTTACATAAGTAGTAGATCTGACTGAATAACCTACCATGGATACTGTTTAACAGTTTATTTACGATGCTAAATATTGGTGGCAAGATCATATATTTTTCTGCATAGCTTTTAGGAATAAAGACACAAAGCTTATAAATGCTGACAGAATACAGCATGTAAGTGCCTGAATACAAAGACTTAATTGACAATTTCTTCCTAGACATTTGTCTTTAGAATTTAGTGACCTAAAAAATACTCTTAATATACCTAACATCCCTAAAATGTTCATGTGAAAGTGATAGTTTTAATGATGACATCAAGTGTGTCTCACGATATTGCATATTTGAATAGAGAAGGACAAATTCTCCTCAAAAGATGCTAATAATGTTCTCAAAATAAAAAACACAAAACAAAGTCCTTCTATCTTAGCCACAAGATACCAATACAACTGAATTTATGTCTACTTTAATTGAACAATGGAAAAGTCAGCAGTTAAAGGGCAGATAAACTTCCCTTTGTCCCTCTTTTCCTGAGAAACTTTTAAATGTTGAAAATCAATTCCTTTTGTCCCCTTGTTATTCATCTGCTACACATTAAATAGAAACTCTGGGCATTGAGTGATTCCTGCAGAGTCTTTCATCTACAGAAAAGCCTGGTACAAATTAAATACTTACTCTCCCTCACAAATTATAGATATGTATTGTAGTAGACCATCGATTTATCAGTCCATGCCACTGTGAGTTCAGCTTGGTGAGAGCAGCCCATTGTAGTCCTTTATCTAAAGTTACTCTGGGGTTGAGAATTGTGATGGTATATTAATTAATGTGGAGCATTACTATTCTGCTCTGATTTTATAGGCTGTATTTTTAAAATCATTTTGTTTGATATTGCGTTTTGGTTACTTTGTAGATCTTTGAGCCATGTAGGCTAGCTGTGTGTGTGTGCGTGTGTGTGTGTGAGAATTACTATATTGGAACAATAATATGTGTAATATTACCGCTAGCAGCAATATTATGCTATGAAATGACCACATATGAGTTATCACAAATAATGTAGAAGTACAGACTGTCTCCAAGTTTTCTTAGAAATATTCAGTTGATGCAAACATTGTTTTAGCATTGGACTTTAAGACCAATAGCTAAGGCAGTGTTTTCAATCCCAAGCCTGCCAGATGTCTTTGGAGATCACAGCTTACACAGTATCTATTAAATCTCTTCAATTAGAAGGCAAGCATACACATACTCAAATGCACACATACATAACACACACACACACACACACACACACACGCACACAGACACACACAGCTGAGCTATGAATCTCTAAATAATGCTGGGAAATTATAAGAATTTCACTTTAATTGGTAACCCACTAAACATTCAAAACCTTTTTTGGCAAAGATTAAGTGTTCAATAAAAAGACAAATGTGATAAGCTCTTGGCCAATTCCACGAGTACCTTGACTTTCCCCAAACTGTTCTAACATTTTTTTCCAAATATTTGTCTAAACTGATCACCATAAATAAAGAATGAGCACTCAAATCAATGAAAACTATCTTTTTCATTTGGAGGCTCCCAAGACACCTCACCTCGCTCGAATCCTCCTGCTGATTGATAACTGCCAGCGCATCCTCTGCTGCCTGCCGCTTGGCCTCGGCGACCGTGCGCTCCATCTTGGCCCGCTCCGTCGTGATCATGTCATGGGCTTTCCGCTCTGCCTCAGACACGGCCTTCTGCAGCTCTGTCATCGCCTGGCGCTTCACCTCGTTGACAGCCTCCTCTGTGTGCCAGTCAGGACAAACCAGACAAGAAAACACCTCTCGGTTAGCTCAGGACATTGGATATGGATTTCTTTTCTTTTAAATCTTTTTTTTTTTCTTTTCGGGTCAGGTATCACTATGTTGTCCAGCCTGGTCTCAAAACCCTGGGCTCAAGTGATCCTCTGCATCACTCTCCCCTAGCAGCTGGAATTATAGGCACCTGATAGCTACCATGCCCACTATCTGATTACTTTTATATAGAATTCTATACAACGAGCATGACTCTCATCCAAATTATTGGGCAGTTTCAGCAGTCTAAAAACTAGCAGATCTAAGAATTAAAGGACAAGGACATTCGTAAGAAACCTGCCTGAATAATTAAGACCCATAACGTTAGTTTTATACAATGCTGTAAGTTAATACTAATACAGGAAGATCCACAGATAAAGCATTCAGAAAAAAACATAGGGCAACAATGGATTTTACACATACACAAATAAGTGCAAACTATGAGTTGCTGGCAAAAACCGCAACACAATAGTGAAAATGTAACTCAGATGGCAATTAAGTTACTATAGACTTTTTAATGAAAACCACTGCTGTAACGGATGATCCAGTTTTACTTTTGAAAAGTCATTTCCTGAGTAATATGAGTATGTGCCTTTATAGATTAAATGATAGAGGTTTTTAAAAATAATCTCCTTTCTACATTTTAAGCTGTTGTCCATTTACTTTACCAAATATACACAGTGGTTTTGCATAACCAACTGTTGCACTAGACAAATATAACTGAATCATACCACAGGCCAAAACAATCAGGCCTGACTACAAATCTGCAAGGTGTCAAGCTCTTTATTTTTGGCTGAGGAAAGGGTGCAAAGATTCAACTAATGTAGAACATAAGATTGACAACTAAAACAAGTAATTTCCATTTAAAAAAATTAACTGTTCTAATTAACAGGGGAAAATATCCTCCCCCTGAATTAGTTTATCTAATTTTCATCTTTATTCAAAGCAAAATGACAATGATTAATTGAAAATTTAATAAGCAGTAATTATTAACTTGGCAAACCTAGTACCAATTAACACTCTATTAAAACTAATTATGACATGTTTCATTCAAGTGTTTGCACTTAATTGTTTCACCCACTTAAAAAGCACCTTAATTAAATGTTCTGTTTAATTAAAAACACAGATTCCTAATAAAAATGTTTTACTGTAGATTAAAAATGTAAGAGATGCAAGTACTTCTATGGTTTCTTAAATTCCTATGGTTTATTTCACACATCTATATAGTCCATGACTTGAGAATCATCAGAAGCTCTCCATTGGTAATTAATTGTCATGACTTTTGTAGCCTCTGTCATTTTAGCAGCATTATATCTGAAGTACATTTGTTTACAATTACTGTGTGCTGGGTTTTATAAACTAAAATATAAGTAAAAAATTCATACTAGAAATAGTAACTAAAATATATTAAGCTTTTGTTAGCTGCTTTAAGGTATGCATTTAAAATCTGTGTAGAATCAGAGCACTGCAGAAAGCTTACAGCACCTTCTTCACCAGGAGGTGAAAAGATGCCTTTATTACCCTATCATAAATGACCTGGGGCACAAGGGAAGTACTGCCCTTCTAACTATACAGTCAGGGTCTAATTTAGTTTGAATATTCAAGGTGAATTAAAATTCTATCTAAGTGGTAATACAGGACAATAATTTTTGCTTACGATCAAAGCTGTAGCTTGACTAATTGTATATGCAAATCAGGCAATTTATATTTAAATTATGCATTCCTATTCTAATCCCACAGGCATATACAGATCAGCAAAGAGAATTGGTAGGACATTTGCAAGGTGCTTGAATATTTATTACCAACTGCAAACATTCTGATTGTGTAAAAAGAAATATACTGGAGAAAACATTCAGTTACCATTTTAAAACAATCTTTATGTTAGATTTTTTTCCAGTTTCATGAAGACCCCTTGTAACTTTTGAGCACATTTGTTACTTTTGCTTTAAAAATACTACTTTTAGAGGAGAAGTGATGTGGCTGATTTCTAATCTTTAAAAATGTATGGTTATGCTATAATATTGTATTATTGGGGGCAATGTGAAAGATTTGCATAGGGTCTGCAGATGAAATAATAGTGTTATATCAATTCTGAATGTCTTGATTTTGGTAACTGTACTGAAGTTACATAGAATATTCTTGTTCTTGGGAAACTGAAACTCAAATCATTTAAGGTAAGGAGAAATTATGTCTGCAACTTACTCGCAAATGATTAGAAATATATATACATCTCAGGAAGAGAATGAAAGAGGAAAAGAGATAATACTAAAGCAAGTATGATAAAATAAGGGAACTAGGTGAAAATTAGAGGATTTTTTTTGTAACTGTTTTGCAACGTTTCTACATGTCTGAAATCATTTCAAAACAAAATGATGCAAAAAGCTATATTATGTACTTTCAAGCACAGGGTATACTTTCTGTAATTACAATTTTCTGTGAAAGTGGATGTATTCATTATGCTACATCAAGTTTTGGGAGTTCTTCCCCTTTTGTATTTTTCAAATGCTTTATTTACCTATCTTTTGCAACAAAAATATGTATAATAATTTCATTGCAAAGCACACTTTGTAGGTTTTCTTCAAAAAAAATTTTTTGCCCATAGCCAATTTTAGAAAGCTAGGATAAAAGCTTTCGAATTATAACAAGCTGAGTGCAGATGTCACATTCTGCCCTTGGTGTTTTCATCATGTTGGATGCCTTGACACTGAACACTAGAAATGCCATTTAAGAAGCCTATAAAGATAAATATTATAAGTAGTTACTGGAGATTACCAGATGAAACTGTCATCCGTACTTTCAGGATTTAATATACCCCTTAAAATTTAGCATCATCCATAGAAAACTATTCCCAAACTGTTTTTAAGCAGCAGTTTAGAGATAACACTGTGAGAGAATACAAAAAAATAATGTCATATTTTAGACTGAACACCTATCGTAGATGAAAGACACTGTAATGAATAATCTAAACACTTCCTTGATATGGTTTAATTAGAGAGTGCAAGCACACAACAGAAACAAGTAGTGCTCTTTCTCTACTCTCTTAAGTCCCCAAAACCTAAATTACACCCAGAATTAGGTTTAAAACCCCCCAAAACAGACAGTAAAGAAAAATAATGGTGGATTCAATAGATAACAATATGTCATGTAGGAAAAAATAAACAACTGATTAAGTGGAAAATACATAGTGCAGCTTTGAATCTGCGTCCAATTGCTTACCACTTATGGTAGGACTTCCTTTATAGACAGCTATTCAAGTTGACTTTCCAAGAAAGGTGCTATATTCAGGAAAATCTGTTCTCACTTAATAGCACTCAAACAAAGACTTGAGCAGATAATAGCACATAAGAAATCTGGATTACACAAAACCTTACTGGCACTTTTTCTTTATGAACTATCAAGAATTTAATTTAAATATACTTAAGAAGGAAAGTGCAGAGAAAAGACTCACTCCTCTGAATATAAAGTCACCCTTCCACTGTCCAAAATGACAATCATTTGTACCGCTTATTGGAATAAGTTGCACTGACAGCTTAGAAGTGGAGGAGAAAAACGGTCACGAGGAAGATGTATCAAGTCTTTTCAGGTAGGTGGCACTTGGCATATTTTTAACAGCTTGGGAGTACCACATGACTATTACCATAAATCTGGTAAAACTATGCAGTTGAGTAACATATATATTTTAACCTTTAAGCTAAATGGACCTATGTAATTTGCATGTTGGATGTTCAAGATGGCTTTCTGATTCTTAATCTAAGTTACTAAACCTAGAATGCTATCAGAATTTAAAGCTCATTATCACTCTTAAAAAAATAGGTATTTCTTGGAAAATGTATAAAAATACTTGCATAAGATACATGTGTTTAGAGAGTCAGCAAGTTACACAGAACTACAAACACAGCTGAGTGAAAACCCAAAGAAAAATCTTCTGTAGAAATAAAAAAACACAACAAAAAATATGTCCCCTGACTCTTCGATTTGTACTGTTTGTAGAAGTAGCATTTCCCAGTTTCCCAACTCAAAGAGACAAACTACTTTAAGAGTTAGAGTTACAGTAGCTCAAAGCCACAGTATGTTTTTCACGTCATCTTTAACTCTTGAAACAGACTTATGTTTCATCTCCTGAGCTGGTTTTCATAAAGCTTTTTGCTTGCTAGGTAGTTCACCAAGATTCTCACAGATTTGGACCTATTTAAGTGCAATAACAAATCTGTGGGTCATGAGGAACTTTAAATCTACTATTACAAAATATAGAGCAGCATCTCTTAATGGAAAATAGGTAGTGTACATGAAAAGCAAAAATAAATGTTTAGTAACTTTGTTATTTCACTTAAAGAGTAATTTAGCTCTGATTGTTGAATACTAATTAGTATAGAAGAATGATTTTAAAAGTTTATTGTAACCAAGAAATTATCTGAGTACTTTCACAAGTCAACCTGACTTAATGTGTTTTTGTTTTTTTTTTTAAGAATGCAAGAGAAAAGGCTGAAGCATGCAATTTAATTTCTAAAACACTGGGGTTTTCTCATCAAAATAAAAAAAATGCATGCAAGCTAAGACCTCCTATGCCAAGTTTCAGCCTGAAATCATTATGGCCCTGAAAAAATTGAGTTTTATAATGGAAATATTGCCAGCCTCTCAATTATAGTGAAACTGGCAGATGTTACTAAAATAAAAATGATTTCATCTTGTAATCAGGCCTGGTTTAAGAATATTAATCAGGTGTTTTGTTTTGTTTTGCTTTGTGGTTTTTTTTGTTTTGTTTTGTTTTTGCTGTTGTTGTTGTTAGCAGTAAAGTCCTTTCTTGTCATTCCTCACATCACTGCATTAACAACTGCACACAGCTGCCAGAACACGAAACTCGTGTTTTTAAACAATTCTTACCAGCTTTCTTCCAGATCTCCTCTGGCACGTATCCAGACGCAGGCCTGTGAAGGAATTCCCGATGCGCGTCTATGAAAAGGATGGGAAGGGGGTGGAGAGAGGAGAGTACTGTAAGCACACTTGTGTCATCGCACAGAGTGAAAGTAAGCAATGCCCATTCTCCTTTCTTCTCTACAAAAACATAATTTTAAAAGGCTAAACATTTCACTTCTTGAAAATAACACAAAAATAGCAAGACCTGTCATCAGAGCCCAAGGAAAACTGAAGGTCATTGGTCTAAATGCCATGCATGCTCAAAGCCAAAGCGACTTGATTTTATTATACAATATAATGTTTGGGAACACTGTTCTCAGCACTCTCTCACTAAGGATGCATCTATAGATATATTTTGTTAAGGAAAATAAATTGTATTTGGTAGTTTTCCTTTCAAGAGTCAAATTGGTAGTTAAAAAGTCAAATGTTCAGGTAATATAATTTCCATAGAGCTCTGATTCTGCCACCTTTCAAAGAAGAGCAAGCTCTACTCTGTGGCTAACCAGTTCTCACACTTAATTAATTCTTAAAAATCTCAGTAAGCATTAAAATTTTTCATCCAAATTAGATCATATGGATTTGACATGGGTGGATGCCAGAAAGACTCATTAGAACGGATTCACAGACATTCTGTTGAGCAAAGAGAATTAGCCCATGCTTTCCAGAAAAGGAAATGAAGTTCCACTTTAAATTAAATGCTGTGCTTACTATGCTTGTCAAATTTTAAGTTTGAGAAACTAATAATAACTTTCATATAGGAATGCTAACTCCTAAAATGATACGTTCATGGAAAAAACATGAAACATTCTGTGGTTTTTACATATGCTCAAAAGTAAACAAAGTGTATACAGTCTTCCATAACTAGAATATGCATTGCATATCTTCCATATTGGATTTTCAATGAAAGCCTTCTTATTTAGAAGAGTTCAGTAAGAAAAAAAATCATTTCAACTGTTATAAAACATAATTATTAAGCCCATGATAAATCCTGAGTAAAACTGAAATTTCTCTACGTGTACAGTAAATGTTGAGTGGCAGATATTTTTAAACAATACTTTATCTAACGGTTATGTTGAAGATCAAGAAATTCAGTAAAGTATTCTATATTTTATGGTGCTACACAATGTCAAAAGTAAGCACGATCAGTTAAGCTAAGTGTATGTTGTTACATTTGAATGCTTTAAATACATCTGAATGCTTTGAACTCTTGCAGGACACATAGACTATCAACTGGCAAGAACATTAGATTTTCTCAATTATTCTGAATTAGCAAAAACTTCCTATGGCTTGGTGAAGAATATATGGAAACTCTCTGTAACATCTTTGCAATTTTTTAATCTAAAATTATTCCAAATTTTTAAAAGTTTATTTTCAAAAGTTTACACTGTAATATTATGACTACTTAATAAAAAGATGGACTGGAAATTATGCATTCTCCTGCGTGCATTCATTTCTATAAAGTAAATGACAAAAATAAAAATGTTTTTACTGAAATAACTTCCAATCTTAAGGCAAGATAAAACTGGTACATAAATTATCTAAAAGAAATGTGATACAGCTAATTAGCTTTATCAAGATTATCTTCCTTATCACTATAACTATTTCTAGAATAAAGTACAATCAAGTTCATATTTAGCCATGTGACATAGTACAACACAGAGATTTACTTATGACAACATTTAAAGACAATTTTTAAGAAGACAAGACTTTGATTTAAGCATAATTTATTGGATAAGAATAAGAACAGATCTGTGAAGTCTGAAGATAGAAAAAACTTGACTCCAAAGTAGCAATTATTTTTCATTTATTATGTTAAGAGACCTGTAGTTCATAAAAATTATTTTTTTCTGGTTTTTTTTTTTGAGACAGAGTCTTGCTGTGTTGTCTAGGCTGGAGTGCAGTGGCACAGTCTCAGCTCACTGCAACCTCCGCCTCCTGGGTTAAGTGATTCTCCTGTCTCAGCCTCTAGAGTAGCTGGGATTACCGGCACGTGCCACCAAGCCCAGTTAATTTTTGCATTTTGTAGAGATGGGGTTTCACCAGTTGGCCAGGCTGGTCTCAAACTTCTGACGTCACGTCACTCAGCCTCCCACTGTGCTGGGATTACAGCCCTTCCAAAGTACTGAGATTACAGGTGTGAGCCACCATGCCCAGCCTATAAACATTATTTTTTGATAAATAGCCAATCATTATGATAAAGAACAGAAAAAGTGATGTTAAGGTATCCAAAGTCCATGCATGAAAGATACTAATTACCAGCCCCAGGCAACATAGGCTGAAGAAAGTTAGTTCTAGCACCCAGTGAAACCAGCTACTGACCATGGAACAAAAGGGATGTTAGTTTGTCCACGTCTCAGATGCCTCATCTCTAATAAAGTGAGGACAATACTACTATTGTTTGAGAGCACTGCTCTGAGTATTGAAGGAGGTACCTCCTATTACATGCATACCGTAAACTCTCATCAGCTGGTGCTTGCTATTATCCTCATTATTATCATCATTATTATTACTTAGTAGGTGGTCTAGTAAGAACAGCTATATAACTATTTCCTTATAAATAACTAAGGTGTAAAGAGTATTTTAAAGTTTATCTTTTCTCTCAATATTAAAAATCCAAATAGCACAAATTTTGAAGAGAACAAAGCCACTGAAGAAGTCTGGATTAAGCAATATACACTAAGTAATTTGTTAAACTCCCAGAGTCTATGTCACTTGGAAATAGACAATATTTCAATAGTTCACAATTCATGCCTTTGTCCTTGGAAGCAAAATCCTCAGATTTCTTAGATGATACTTACAAAAATTTTACTTGAGCCTCACCCATGGAATGTGTATAACACCCAAATTGACTCAAATATGAACGTGCCGGGCTCAGCTGACCTCCCACCTTCTGTGGGTTGCACAGCAGGTGTCCTGAGGGTACGTATACCATACTGGAAAGTTGTGCAATGTTTCTTGCCTACATCTTCCTACATTTCTCACTGACATTGCCATGTCCACATAGGCCCAAACTTCAACTGACCTAGAAACCCAATAGCAATGCCGAAGCCAATCATGCAAAAGTTTTCTTAATGCTAACTACTTTCCAAAAGACATTTTTTTCAAAACAGCGGAATCTAAAGGTAAATAATTATATACATATATATATATATATATATATATTTTTATTTTTTTTACAATATCCTCTCTAGTTGAAAGTTAGAGTACTTAATAAACATGAGTTCTACCAACAGAAAGAACAGACTGATTGGTAGCAGGTGTACTCTTCAGAAATCTATTTGATACCCTGATGAACACTACTTTAACAGTTACAGAAACCAAATGACTAACATATTTAATATCTCCTCTTCTGATTAAGCAGCAGAAATTCAGAATCTATATAGGGAAAACTGAGTTTGAAAAACTAAACAAAGGACAATTCTCTCCAAGGACTTTATTACTTTAGAATACTGGCTATTCTAGACACATCTACATAAAACACCTTAAGATTCTAAGGCTTAGATTCTAAAGGAGCTAATTCTTAACCATTAACTCTTAACCACCCACAAAATATCAGTTGCTATAAAAATGAATGGTCATTCTGAAATGTAGTGGTAGAAACAAAGACAGAAGAACCTATATGAGATGGTTTAAAATGTGAACATATATGCAACTACTGAAAGATGAAAAAAATATAGAAAAGTCCTTCTAAATTAAGTCTAGCTTGCTTTGGGATACATATTGCTTGGGAGGTGACAGAGAAAGAGGATGAAGGGAGACTCCTGAAAATAATCCACATCTATGAAGAGAGGAGACCAGGCAGAGTGACTGAAAATGGTGTAAGAAATGTGAAAGAACAGAAAGAGCAATCTATGATGTATGAAAGAGATGGAAGATGCACTACACTTACGACAGGATGGAGACCATTGGATACTAGATACTGCAAGGGCCGCCATCAATATACATGAAGGGATGAGCTGATAGCCTTTGGAGAAGCAATGTGACCTCATATGACCCAGGACAGCAATGCTCAAAGCTTGGCAGCACCTAGGTATGGCCTTCATCCTGTAGTGGGCAGAATGAGGCTATGATCATGATAATATCTATTACAAAAACCATCAAAAGAAAGAAAGAGTTAAGTGATTTTATCTTTACAAATGCCACTTGTTTTTAAGGATAATACATTCAGAAATCTTCACACTAGGTTTCAGAAGCCCAAATCCAACCTAGAAGCCAGCAACTGCTTTAGGGTTTCCTCCTTTTACAACAAACATGTTTAATGTTCCAGGAAGTGACCATCTCTGACGGACATATTTAACTAATAGTCACATCTTTTTGAACCCACTATAGTTAAGTACAGTAGGTATTTGCATTATGAAGTCAGTTGAATGACTGTGAGATTAATTTCATGATGCGATTTAAAGAAATCAATATGAGTACAAAACTACAAACATTTACATGCAAATACACAAAGAATAACTTGTTTGTGATTTTTATATTCTGAGAATATAGAAGTTGAAATATTTCTTTGGCTGTGAGAAATCTACTTTTCTATACCCTTGTATTATGAATTAAAGCCCGAAAGGTACAACAGATTAACTATATTTAAGACAGGATTCTTTTCTAATCTCTGTGCCTATTAAAGTAGCCACCTGGTTAGAAGTACTTTCCAGATGAAAAAATACTGATGAATCCACTGTTACTTCACAATCTTGAATGCCAAGGAAAATTTTTACTAGTTTCATTTACTACTATTCTTTAAAGCTCTTCTTGATTTTATTTTTTTTTAATTAATTATTTAATTTTTTCAGACAAGGTCTCACTCTGTCACCCAGGTTGCAGGGCAGTGGCACAAACACGGCTCACTGCTACCGTGACCTCCTGGCCTCAATGAATCCTTCCATCTTAGCCTCCTGAACAACTGGTACCACAGGCATGCACCACCATGCCCAGCTAATTTTTTGATTTTTGGTAGAGATGGGGTCTCACTAAGTTTTCCAGGCTGGTCTCAAACTCATGGACTCAAGGGATCCTCTCACCTCAGCCTCCCAAAGTGCTGGGATTGTAGGCATGAGCCACCACGCCCCGCCGAAAGCTCTTTTTGAGGGTATACATCTAAATAATATCTAAGCCATAACACGTCTACTAAGTGTCAAGCACTGTCCCATATGT